ACACACACACACACACACACACACACACACACACACACACACACACACACACACCACTTCTTGTCTCTTACAAGCAGCTGTCTAAAGTCATCCAGGGGATAAAATGCTGGTCTTTCCATGCTGATTTTTTTTTAATCTCCACATATGCTTTCCTGATGCTGCTAGAAATGTATGATGTGCAAATATTTACATTGGGCTAAGTGCATTGACTTTTAAATGGATAGACTCTTGAGGAAACGTGATCAGATATGTGCTAAGTGCTCAGATACATTGGTGCTGGAGACCAGTATAAACCCCTAAGATACAGTAGATGGAGTATTTGGTTCTCCTACCAATGGCATGTACATTCTGGTCATTCATAAATATTTCTAGTGCTTAAAACATCAGGGAGTTTAGAAGTGTACATCTAAAATAGCTTTTTAGCTTTCATGAGAGTCACTTATGTAAAATCATTGTGCATGAAGCAGAGGATGAAGCCTATTACCCACTGTGCATGACCAAATACTAATGGCTAAGTACTGGAACCATGTTCATAGAGTAGTTCTACAACAGATGGATTTCACCCAACTCTACTCCAGAAAGCATCACACATTATCCCAATCCTAAGTGGCCTGCATTTTAATTGTTTAAATGATTATGCTGGTAGGGGATTGAGGTGACTAATCTAATAGTTTTTTCCCATCTCTAATTTCTAAGAATCTGTGATTTTATGACAAGTGACAGTGAAATTCTTATTATACTATGGGCTAAACGTTAACAATATCTGCATCTGTTTGTGTTTGCAAAAATCTGCATTTCTTCATGCACATCTGTTTGTTCAGTTGGGTACTGTCCATGCACAGCTGCCCTTTGACGTCTTTGGCCACATCATTTCGTTTCCATAGAAGCCATTATTTGGCTCTGCCCTCATAATATCCTCTTTTAGAGCCCACCCTCAAACAATCATTCACCTAAGTGCTCTGTCCTTCAAAACTGCGTCAATACAGAGACTGAGAAAACAGCAGAACAGACCTTTCAAATCCTCAAATGGCAAGAAAAACATTTTAGTTTGGCACTCTGATTTGTTGAATGTTCTTTTGTATAACTGTGCAAAGGTAATAATGCTCTTGGGAATGTAGAATGTCAACAATAACTGGTTTCTGCTGTTATCAAAGGCATTTAATCAGCCAAAGAATACTATTTATTGTTTTGTATGCTTATGTCATGAACATTAGCCCTTAGATACTATACTAGATGTTGTTTTCCCCTATTAATTTCAGTTATACAAGAACTGGTAACAAGTAAATATTAAGGTTCATATACTGCCTGTGATCTGCACGTTATTTCAGTATTTTATTGTATGGGGCCCTAAAGTTTACTCTAAGAGGGTTTAAACAGTAGAACTATTATTCAAATCCCATTGACGTCAATGAAAATATTCAGACTGACTTCAATGGCCTTTAGATCAGGCCTTAAAAGGGCATGCTACAATTGTACAAAACATTAGAAGTGACACATTATGTTTATTAGTTGAGACAAAGGACCAAATTCATTTCTGATGCAATGCCACTGGAATTAACATTTACAATAGGAATTAATTGGCCTAGGACTTTATTGAGGCTCAATCTGCTCTCGCTTAAATCAATAGGCGTTTTGGCCATTGGTAAATATATGGGAATAGGCTCATAGTCCCAGTGTTACTCTGCTAGAGTATGCTTAGCATAATTCTCAAACAAATAATTAAAAAATGACTCCGAACTATACTAGCTTGGCCAAATCTAGCAGTGCAAAGCAAATTTTGAGACCATACAGATGGTTAGATGTGCACTATCCCAACTCCTGTCTGCATCCAGGCAGAGCTCAGTACAGCTCTGGAGCTGAGAGGGCAAACGTGGCTTTCAGCTACCCTGATCTTGGGGCTGTCAAGCCACTGGCCTGGTCCTTAGTATAAGATAGAAAAGCTTGTGGCTTGCTCTGTTTTACATTGGCTACACAGCCACTAAGGGCTATCCCAACAGCCAGGGATTAGCAGGCAGAGGCGGGTATTGGTTGCATCCTCTTTCTCCTAGAAACTGAGAAGTAACATAGGAGTCACTATTGCAGTTCTGCACCAGCAAAGGATTTCCTAGACAGACAGACTCTTTCATGGACCAATGAAGCTCGCTCAAAGGCTGCTTCATACCATCAAAGCATTCCAAAGCATCCTTAGTAGACTAGAAAATGTGGACCAGGGGGTCACACACACTAGTTTTATACACTGACTTCAATGGATTTACTTGTGATCTACACCAGTGTGAGAGTAGCATCTGGCTCCCTGACTTCAGTAGATTTACACTGGTGCAAGTGAGTGCAGAATTTGACCCATTGTCTTGCTATTAACTCGAGTTAGTGTTTTAGCTACAGTCTTTGCTGGCAAAATTTGATTTGATTTTTGTATCAGGCCTTTTTAGTGACTTCAAGCCAAAGCCTATTGAAGTATATGGAAAGATTCCTGTTGACTTTAATGGGCTTTGGATCAGGGCATTCAAAAAGGGAACATGAAGTTATGTTGAAACAAAGACTATTGTATTATTTATTATTGCCTACAGTTTTTTCGCATGCTTTCTGCTTTTATAGGTTCATTACTTACGGCTCCTGATACAACAGAGATAGTTAGGGTTCGACTGCTTTTTAACACTCTCACAGCCTACAAAAACAAAGTGAAAAAGTCAGTTTCAGTGTAAAAACGTTATGTATATAAGGAAGAAAGAAAAAGAAGTAGGATAGTTTTCCTACTCAGTTTTATAGATTTTAAGGTCAGAAGGGACTATTAGATCATCTATTCCGACCTCATGCATAACAAAGGCCATAGAATTCCATCCAATTGCACTTGTATTAAGCCAAATAACTTGTTTGGCTAAAGCGTATCTTCCAGAAAGGCATCCAAGTCTTGATTTGAAGACATCAGGAGATCAAGAATTCACCATTTCCCTTGAGAAATTTGTTCCAATGGTTAATCACCACCATTGTAAAAAAATTGTGTCTTATTCCTAACTCTAATTTGTCTGGTTTTATCCTGTAGCCATTGGCTCGTTATGCTTTTCTCCACTAAATTAAAAAGCCCTTTAGTACCCAGTATTTTCTCATCATGATGGTACTTATACACCGTAATCAAGTCATCTCTTGATCTTTTTGATCAGATAAAGAGCTCCATAGTGAATACAGGAGAGTTGGGAAGTGATAAAGGCTGGAATTTTCAAGGGACCTACTGAAAGTCAGAGGGAGTTGGGTGCCTAAATCTTCCCTAAACCCTTTTGAAAATCCTAACCTGAATTTATACGACCAACCCCATTTAGGTGGCATCACCTGGGCATCAGCACTTTTGGCGATGAAGCTAAGGCAAAATTTACACAACTGCTGTGAACTTTCTATACACATAACACTTAATATAAATATAATAATGGGGCTAAATAAAAACTCCTTTTCCCACCTCTTTGTGGTCCACATTAGAAAAATCCACTCCATTTACTTCAACAATCTGATCACCAATCTATAAGAAATAATTAAAACATAGCATATGACTTTCTTTGTTATGGGTATCCTTACATTTTTTCCCCCTTCTGCTGAAAAAGGTAACAGAACATGAGTTCATCAATGGATCCCAGATCACTGTATGAAATTACTACAAAATAAAATTACCCTGTAACATCTTATTTGGAGCATAACATACTCACCTCCAGCCCCACCTCAGCAGAAAGAGAACCTGGTTTAATATTGCTGATAAAAATGCCTGGTTTTTGTGTTGGACCACTGGAAATGCTGGAGTAAGCAGAGAAAACAGATGATATAGGATAACACAATACAAAGAAGGCATCATACTTGCTGAACTAGTGTCTGCTATTAGGTTAGGTATTTTTTGATATTTGCTTCCTGTATTTCTCACTGATTTTTGAAAAAACACACTGGGCCATATCCTCAGCTGATGAAACTCACCATAGCTCCACTAAATTCAATGGAACTATATTAATTTACATCAGCTAAGGATGTGACCCACTGGATTTAACATTATCATTACAGCATATCTTGTCACAGCCAATATTGTTTTTCCAGTTGGTCACAATGCCTATGCACGACACTTATCACAATAAGCGGATAGGAGAGCGATGCCATGATAAAAATATTTTTGGCCAGATCCTTGGCTGATGTAAATTGGCATTGAAGTCAATGGAGCTATATCAATCTATGCCAGCTGAGCAACTATTCCATATAAAACATGTTAGCGAGTGAGTAATTGCTTGCATGTTCATTCAGGGTGCTGAGGAGATCTACACTATCACTCAGTTATGTATGACATAATATCATTCTTCAGAACTATGGACCACACCAAGAGGGAAGTCACAGGCAGGAAACCCTCTATACTCCATACTTCTGGGGTAAAAACCCTCAAGCCGCAGCTAAGAAAATATGTAGACCAAACATGGCAAAGATTTCTGAAGTATGCTGACTGACTGCTGCTTTTCCTGCATCAGGCAGATGCACTATCCATCTTTCTAAGTTTGCAACCAGCTTTATTCCCTTAATTATTCGCTTCAAGTTGTTCAGCGGCTGGATAACAAATGAAAACATGAAGAGTGCACAGAAATATAATGTTGGTCAGTACAATGTGAATGCACATTGCATAGAAATGGTATTTCATCTTATAGCGCTGGCTAACCAAAGATACAGAGACCATCTGAATAAAGATAAGTATAAGAAATAAAGGGCCAGATTTACTAAACCTATTTAGATGCTGATAGGCACCTCGTGGGAATTTCAGAAGTGCCTCAGTTAGGTGCCGAATTCCCATTGAAAGTCAATGGGTGTTAGGTGTCTACTGAGTTATGGTCCTTTTGTAAATTC